AATGTAATGCTGGAGGCAGGCAGCCCTATTGCATGTATACGTACCGCACGGCTGTGGGCATTTATTTCAAAGATACGGCGGAGTTACAATACTGTATAGATAAAATTACCGTGGTGTAGTAGCGGTGGAAGAATATCCACTATGCTATATCGTCCCGTGGGTGTCGTAAGAGGCGACAGAGGGAGACAGGCAGGAGATTGACAGCAGCGTCTTCTTAATTAGAACTAAAACTAAAAATAATAACTGCGGCTGCCAATCCGCCAGCCAAGTGTGGCAACTATGCCAAATATCCCCCAATATATCCAGACAATCTATGGGGAGCCCTATGTTCAGCAGGGGACTTTTGACAGGTAGTTAATTATATAAGTATGTTTAAGACTTAATGTAATTAAGATTAAAATTTCGTTTTACAATTGCAATTGTGCCACGACATTACATTTAAATAGCCCAACCTAAAATTACTGTGTTCCGACCTTGATCTAAATAGTCAATAACGTAAGATTGACACTTGACGATAAAGGATATGAGAATAAAGGAATGGGCGTCACTCCCTAGGTCGTGGTTACTCGATTGGTGACCATCAGTGACCACGATAAGACTTCAGTTCGTTTCGCTTGATGTGCGAAGAAAGCGCCCCCATCAAATTAAATCATCCGTGTGAACTCGCAGCCGCCGTAATAATATCGACATTTTTATGCGATATGAGATTAGTCTTATGACATACCCTGAACTGAATTTGTATATACTCGTATCATAATAAATACGTTGTAAAAATTCAATTTTTGTTAGACAACTCATAGGCTCTGATGGGTATAATAGGTGTTTTTAAATGTTTTGTTATATGTTTATATAACATGAATGTAAATATTGCCACAGTGGAGTTGAAGTTTAAGCTCGAGATTGTTTCCGACTTAGTCACGAAGTAATTAAGCAATTGTTGTTAAATTAATAAATCAAGTTTCAAGTTGAAGTCCAGGTGGGCACCAACCTCGTACCTATTTCCGTCGCCTAACAGCAGTGTTTGCGATGCTTTGTTCCGGTGTGCAGGTTAGGGTGAGGTATTCCATCTTGTTTCTCACATATTACACATCTGTAGCCCTCATCTAAAATATTTATGTTAACAGAGCATAATAAAATTTAAATAATAAATGTATCAGATTTTATGTATGTTATCGGCATAATAAAAAGTAAGTTGTGAATCGTACCTTAATCGCTCTATACACTGGTTTATTTTAGTACCCGATAGATGATGTCACTTTTTGGCTACTGTTGCTTTATTTTAAGCTTCATGTATCAAGACTCGTTAGCTCAGTAGGTAAGAGCGCCGATATAAACTAAAGCTTGATCATCGGAGGGCGGAGGTTCAAATCCTTCAGAGGTCAGCTATTTATCATTTTTACACGAAAATCTTGAATGATAATAGACAATACTTATTAAAGAAACTATTTTTAGACATCGACTCGGAAGCGGATTGGCTTAGCGTTTGGTTGCAGCGCTGGTGGGCCACGGGTATAGGTGGTATAGGTTACAGTGGTATAGGATTTAAGTTTTTTTTTTAAATAGTAACAAAAATGTTTTAAAAACGAATTAATTTTTTTTTTATTATATGCTTACACTATTGCTTCTGATAAAGGTACCTATGTGCTGTAATAAAGGATGCATTACAGAGTCAAACTTCATCTAATGATAATTGGTCACTGTAGCCAAAGACACCCCTATTTGCCGATGACATCCGCTGACCACGCCCTTCGCATGTCTGCTCAGTCAACTTGCCTTCCTATAATCGTTAACGTGAATAGAACATTTATGTAAGAGGATGCTGTGGCCTATAGATATCTACATTTATCTTCGATGAAGAATTAAAATGTAAATGTGTTGTCACTCCTAAGGCCTACGATGTACTATGTATTAAGCTGCTATTTCAAGTTGGTATCTGTGCGACCATGGTCCCTTCTCAGTCATACGTGTGGACTGTAAACTCATTTGTGAGTCTAATGGTGGCCACACACGGTCAGTTAAAGTCATCGGTCGAACTGATATCAGGTCGAACGGATTTAAGATAAAGAAATTTCCACACACACGGTCAGTCCAACTAATCATTCCAGAAAATGATCAGCCAAGCCGATCAGTCCAAACTAGGACTGTGATATTTTTTTAAATATCGTATTTTTGATATATCGATAATTATAAATATAGCAATGTTGTAGTTCTATATATCGTAAGTTAATATACAGTAAATTAATATCGGAGTTTTAGAAATCGAAGAAAATGTCGATAAATTGGCTTTATTAAAAAAAACAACCGTAAGTCATTTTAGTTTAGTTCATTTATTATATTTATCAAGCAAATTAAATTATAAATGTATGAAAATGTTAGATTATAGTTCCTATTAATTATTGTTTTCCTATTAATTAAGAATTGTTCCCGCCAAAACACACAGTTACTAAAGTAGTTATAAGTTTCGTAGATTATTGTAATTTACACAGAGATATACTATACAAAATTATATTTCTTTTTATGATATTATAGTATATATAAAGTAATGCAGAAGATTGGGTAGTAGTAGATTAAATGATTTACGAGACAAAATAAAAAATTAAAACTTTTTATTGAAAAAAATATCGACTGTCGATTCATATTTTAACGCTTAGCCCAACGCGCGACTATGGTATTGCGCCGCCCCTGCGTCGAGCATCGCGCGAACGCGCTAATGCTGATGCTACACTAAAGGGAAACGTCAATGCCTAAAAACGCAGCAAGCATTGCTTTAAATTTAACGCGATAAAGTTGGCTACACTTGAACCCTCAACATCATTAAATTTCAATGCCATTGAACGGCGTTAAAGTTGGCGTTAATACTCCTTGAAGACTTTTAAATATTTGTTAAAAATGGTTCTATAAAAGCGCATTAGGTTTTCCTTCGCCTTTCTAATTCTGCGACCTTACAAATTTCGTTTAACGTGTTAATTTGACAATGAAATTTGTTAATTAATGTGCCCACGACGGCCACACCTACATTCAACGTCCATCAACGTGATAATTAACGGCATTTCTCGTTAGTGTGGCCCTGGCATAAGATTGTACTAAAATGATAAAATAAACAAGCAGGCTTAGCGATGAATTGCTGCGTTGGGGGCCGCGAGTTCGAATCCCGCACGGAACAAGTATTTGTATGGTCTACAAATAGTTGTTCCGGGTCTGGATGTTTGTTCTTGTGCAATTTATGTTTGTAAACTGCCTCCAAGCTACAGGAGAAAATCATAGTGTGTGGGGGAGTGGGTAAAGTTTAGAAAGAAAAAGTCTAGAATTAATAAAATAATTAAATATTTGATTTGTTCAATAATCAAATATGTTGAGTTCTATAAAATAATAAATTTTTCCTATTGTATTAAGTTACATAACACATATAGGCTGTTTATGTTAGTTAGTTTAATTTTCTTTATTTTTCTTGTGTTTTCTTCCCCTTTGGGGGCATAATTTTTTTGAAGTGTCACTCCTATAAATTAATAATAATAAAAATATAAAAATAGTGCCGTCACTGAGATCTGACATCCTATACACACCTTTAATTTGCACCATCATAAAGGTGAGATCATAACAGTCACCTGGGGCACCTAGTTCAAACACGATCATCCTATCTAGTGGCGTCTCTGAGATCATATACCCAGCTTCGGAGTCTACCATCAGCTAGGTGATATCATCATAGTCCTCGTCGTCATGAACCTTTTTGAAAATGAGTTGAAAAAAAAACACGATGGCTCTACGTAGCATCACTAAGATCCTTTACCCATCTTCTGAGTCAATCATATAGAAGGTGCCATCATCACAGTCACCTTAGTCTTCATCTTCAATATAAAATAATAAAATATCTAAATAGCATAGAAATGATGTATGTAGCTACTAAGTAAGTAGGTATTTACCTGTAATTAAAACGAACTGAAGCCAGCGGGTTACGTCGCGCCCAGAAAACTCCGTGGAGTGTCATCAGTTAAAAATTTCAACTTAAGATTTCACACTCACGATCAGTTTTTGGATTTACGTCAGTTCGACTAAGCAGTTTTAACTGACAGTGCGATAGACAGAATCCGTGGGTTATCGTCAATTGAAAATTTCAACTTAAGGTTCCACCCACGGTCAGTTTTAGGATGTATGTCAGTTCAACCGATCATTTTAACTGATCGTGTGTGGCGTCTAGAAGACGAAAAAACTATGTACCTTTAAAATGGGCAATATGTATGTATGCTTATTAACTTATTAATTTTACGAAAATTAAATCGTATTTTTGCATTAAAGTATTTAAGTATCGCATTTAGAACTTTTTTTAAAACATGATAAAAGGATGACTCGTGAAGGATTTGAACCTCCGCCCTCCGATGATCAAGCCTTAGTTTATATCGGCGCTCTTACCTACTGAGCTAACGAGTCTTGTTACATGCCGTTATAAATAAAGCAAGAATAACCAAACCTTGACGTCATTCACGATTACTAAAACTGAATCAGCGTCAGCGATTAAGGAACGATTCACAACTTACGAACTATTATGTTTTTTTATTCTTTATTTGCTGGTAAAAGTTTTATGCCGAACACGGACTTCTCCCGTTATAGGGATGAAAAGCCATAAAAACTATAACATTTTTCTGGCATTTACCATAGTCATCTCGGAGCGATGCATTTCCTTACACTGCCACCATACATGTTTATTTTATTAGAGAAGATGTTTATAATTAATGCGTATCATCATCATCATCATCATCACCCTTCACAAGTCCACTGCTGAACATAGGCCACCAAGGAATGCCACAAAGCACGGTCCTGAGCCACCTGCATCCATCGACTTCCTGCATATCTTACCAAGTCGTCACTCCATCTAGTGTGGGGTTTAATAATAATAATGAATTGGAAGAGGCGATTGTGGAAACGCGCAGTACGCCTCTCGAAAATCGACCGCGACTTCCCCGCTTAGCCCTAAGCAAGCGGAATCGGGCTGTCGTGAGTACCCAATGCTGGTTACCTATTTGGAAGCCAGCCAGGACCTTTGCGAGACGGACTCAATTCTTTTTGGCGCCGCACTGGCAGTCTGCCGTATTATAGGCGCCAAACTTTCCACGGCTGGACGCGCTACTGGACAAAGTAGTGCTATCCCAGCCTGGAGAATAAGAATTGAAGAACGTATCGCAAAGGCTAGGGTCCTCATCGGCAGACTGATATGCTTCAGGTCAGGCAATACCAGGCCAAGGATTGTGCGCACCGTCAGGATGGCGTTTGCTGGGACAAATGTTAGTTTGTCCCAGCCGGATATAATGCAAAAACTGACGGAGCACATAGACGACCTGAAGCAAAGAATCGCTGCTTGGGGAAAGCGGATTCAGCGATATACCGAGAGGTCGACACGGTTCAACCAGAATCGTCTCTTCCAGAGTGATCAGAAGAGGCTCTATAAATCATTGGAGCGACCAATAGTAAGTGGAACGGGCCCAGCACCAAATCAGGCCGACACGGTCGCATTCTGGCGCAGCCTGTGGTCAGAGCCCGTAAACCGCAACGAGAGCCCTTGGACGGAAGTTGCGGCGAGGCAGTGTACGGGTATTACCCCCATGGACCCCGTCATCATAACGCCGGATGACGTAGCTGAGGCGGTCCGTAGGGCCCCGAACTGGAAAAGTCCGGGGCTTGACGGGCTGCATCACTACCGGCTGAAGGGGTTCATGGTGTGTCACGCTGTGCTCGCCCGACAGTTTCAAGAGGCTCTCAACCAGAAGTCGCTCCCAAGCCTCTTCACTACTGGGATCACTCATTTGGTTCCTAAAAATTAGGATGCCACAGACCCGAGCAAATACCGCCCCATCACGTGTCCACCAACCATACAAATACAAGACACTAACATCCATTTTGAGCGCGAGAATCGCTCGTCACCTGGACTCTAATCAGGTGATGTCGCGCGCTCAAAATGGATGTCGGGGCGGCGGTCGTGGAACCAAGGAACCACTCCTCATCGACGCGGTCATTGGCAAATGGTAGCATGCTGCATAGTAGAGTTGTAGATACTGCATCCCCCCCAAAAAAAAAAAAAAAAAAAAAGTGGTGAAACGCAACCGTCGGAACTTCTCCGCCGCCTAGATAGATTACAGAAAGGCATTCGACTCGGTGCCCCATACATGGCTAAAGAGGGTCCTCGAGCTGTACAAGATTGACTGTACAGTTCGAGACTTCCTCGAGCAGTGTATGGGGCAGTGGAGTACGATCCTCTGTCATCTAGGCGAGCGGATGACGGCTGCGGAAACCCGCATAAGGATAAGAAGGGGTATATTCCAGGGCGACTGTCTGAGTCCAGTCTGGTTCTGCCTCTCTTTGAACCCTCTCAGTACTTTACTGGAGGGCTCCGGGAGGGGATTTCAGCTTCGGAAAGGAGGTGCAAAAGTAACCCACCTTTTCTATATGGATGACCTCAAGTTATTCGCCTCCAGTCGCTCCCATCTTATGGAATTGCTAAACATCACTTGTGAATTTAGCAATTCTATTAGAATGGAGCTGGGGACGGATAAGTGTGCGGTCCTCCATGTTGAAAGGGGAAGGGTTGCTAACTCTGAGGGCATAGACTTATCTATGCCCGTCAACTTAAGGGCCCTTTCCGAGGCTGAAACATACCGATATCTGACGACATACCTATCATACATATCGATGAGGCTGGTATGAAACAGTCAGTTTGCGACGTGTTTTATGCACGCTTGACCAAAGTGCTTAACAGCCTTTTGTCCGGTGTGAATAAGACACATGCATATAACGGTTGGGTCATGCCTGTCCCCATGTATACCTTTGGCATACTCAGGTGGAGTCAGACTGAACTTAACGCCCTGGATAGAAAAGTCCGCACTACAATGACGTCCCATAGGATGCATCATCCAAGATCGTCGGTAATGAGGCTGTACTTGCCGCGAAAGCATGGTGGTCGTGGTTTTCTAAGCGCGCTCACCATGCATAATCGCCAAGTGTGCAGCCTCCGTCATTACTTCCTGGCGAGATCGGATGATCCATTCTATAATGACGTCATTTCTAGTGATAAAGGACTTACCCCTCCATCCTTAGCCAACGAGCAATGGCAAGACTCGGCAGTACAGAGCACTTCCGACCGGGAGACCGTATGGAAGGAGAAGGAGCTCCACGGGAGGTACTACAGGGCTCTACATGAGCCTCACGTAGATACAGCCGCCTCCCTCAACTGGCTACGTTTCGGTGACCTCTTCGGGGAAACCGAGGGTTTTGTCTGTGCAATACAGGATCAGGTTATTAAGAGCAACAACTATCGGAGATACATCCTAAAGGATGGCACTGTCGACGTCTGTCGAGCTTGTCGCCATCCCGGGGAGTCACTTAGGCATGTCATCTCCGGTTGTTCGGCGCTTTCTAACTCTGAGTACTTGCACAGGCACAACCTAGTAGCCAGAATTCTATACCAGGAGCTCGCTCTGAAATACGGTCTCGTGGACCGAAAATTGCCGTATTACAAGTACTTTCCGGAAGCCGTGCTCGAAAGTGACCGCGCCAAGCTCTACTGGGACCGGGCCATCATCACAGACAGGACTATTCTTGCGAATAAGCCTGATATTGTGCTGATGGACCGGGCACAGTCAAGGATATTTTTACCGACATTATCATTCCGTATGACGAGAACCTCGTGAAAGCCGAAACAGAGAAACGAACAAAATATCTGGACCTGGCTCACGAGGTGACCGACATGTGGGGTGGTCTGCCGACCGAAATTATCCCTGTAGTCGTCTCTGCGAATGGGCTAATCCCAGTCAGCCTCTCGGGTCATCTGAGGCGACTGGGACTCCGTGACGGACCGCTCCGGGCTCAAATGCAGAAGACGGTGCTCCTCGATACCGCTCGCATCGTCCGCCGTTTTCTTTCCCTTTCCCCCTAACCCTCGGCCGTGTGGTCTCCCCTGCGCAGAGCTCCCATCTGGTTGGATCTTATTTATTAATGTAGTTTTTGTGTTTATTTTATTTTATTGATATTTATGTATATTTATCTTTTCATTTTAATTTATAATTATATATTTACAGAACCCAACCAGGTGAGAAAATTATATAGATACCCCAATAATAATAATGACTATTGGGACCGGGCCATCATCACAGACAGGACTATTCTTGCGAATAAGCCTGATATTGTGCTGATGGACCGGGCACAGTCAAGGATATTTTTGGTCGACATTACCATTCCGTATGACGAGAACCTTGTGAAAGCCGAAACAGATAAGCAAACAAAATATCTGGACCTGGCTCACGAGGTGACCGACATGTGGGGTGGTCTGCCGACCGAAATTATTCCTGTAGTCGTCTCTGCGAACGGGCTAATACCAGTCAGCCTCTCGGGTCTTTTTTTATTTTATAATCCATTTATGTAACCCTACCAGATGAGAAAACTATATTGATTCCTCCCAAATAATAATAATTTTTTTTGAGATACAAGCTCCATAATTTGTTAGTAATACATAATATAAACTTAAAATTAATGTTAATAAATATACAACTAAGAACAAAAATGCTTATTTTATATTAAATATAACAGCTCAGGACCCCATATGCACAGTGTTCCGGTGCGCACTACCGGACAATCAAACCTTCCTAATACAGTACATAGGAGTCCGTTGGCACTATCACGCACGCGCCGCATCAGGGTCGCCACTTTCTTCCGCATTATTGTATCAAAGCTGTCCGTGTTAGCCTCAATAAACATACCTGATGCCCTGCAATATCGAGACAGCCCCATTAGTATCTTAAAGCCATTATTATACTGAACACGTAGAGCATTTACGGATCTGCGAGTATACTTGACCCACAGGCTGCAGGTGTAAAATGTTTGGCAGTACGCCTTAAAAAGGGTTATCTTGACAGCTTTTGTACACCTTGCAAACATGCGAGCCAGCATGTTGCACCTCACTGCTAACGCTCTACGTTCTCGTTCAATATCCAAGTCATCAGAGAGGTCATCTGTAACCCAGTGCCCCAGGTATTTAAATTTGGTGACTCTACTTAAAGGTACTCCTCCAAGCATGACCAGTGGGATAACCTTGGGTTCTTTATTCCCTGCCTTGAAAACAAGTAGTTCACTCTTTTTGGAGTTATACCTGAGGCCATGGGCTTCCGCATATCTCTCACATAAATTTATTAATGTTTCGAGTTGCTCTGATCGAAGGGCTCAGCAGCACCATGTCGTCCGCGTAACTGATGCTGTTTACGAAGTTACCATCTATTGAGCATCCGACGCCAGTTCTGCTAAGCTCATCGATCAATTTATTTATATATAGGTTAAAGAGCCTCGGTGAAGTTAAGCCCCCCTGTCTCACTCCACATTCCAACCTATATTCACGTGAGTATGAACATGCTCACTTTACATTATTTGATTGGTTGTGGTACCAATACCTTAATATATCGACTATCTCTCTAGGCGTACTCGTTTCCCTCCGAAGCTTATCCCATAATAGGTTGTACGAGACCAGGTCAAAAGGCTTCGACAAGTCAAAAAACAGGCGTAGACAGGCGTTTTTCTCGTAACATAATACTGGACGGTATGCTTGAGTCGCAAGATTGCAGTTTCAGTGGACAGTTCAGGTATAAACCCAAACTGTGCCTCATGTACCTGTATATGTCGACGATCAAGCAAATCATCCAATACTTTGTCTATCACAGTAGCTAGCGAGTCGGTCTATAATTGTTCTTGTCGGCAGCATCCCCGGTCTTATTCTTTAGAACTGGTACCACTATGGTCTTCATAAATTCCTGAGGTAAGTATTCACCCATACATACATTAAAGAGCATAGTCAATACCCTAGGCAGATGAACTCCCGCATGCTGCAGGTGCTCAATACTGAGGTCATCATGTTCAGGTGATTTACTACGTGTCATATTATTTATAACATTTGCGACTTCTTTCGCAGTAAATCTGGCAAATTCACTGCACGATTTCTCCTCACTATCGAACACCCGCTGCACCGGTCCCATTGGAGATTCCACTTTGAAGTGTTCCCTAAAAACTTCTGCGATATGACACTCGCAGGTAAGCATGATGCAGTTTCCAGCTTCTTTGTTTGTTTCCAAAAACTCTTAAAATCTTTTTCTTTGTGGTGAGTAGCCAAAATATCCATTTTTATTTGGTACTCATTGTCTTGACACCACTTAAGCTTTGACTTAAAACACCTCCTAGCTTCTCGCATTCTGTCATATACATAACCCGCTCTGGGCTTACCATACAGCAACCACATTTGGAAACTGCATTGTGCCTCCTGATGGACCTCCCGTAAGTACCTATTCCATCCAACAACCAGTTTGTGTTTACTACGCTTTCTTATCTCATAGCTAGTTTCAGCAGCTTCTCTTAAGATGTAAACAATATTATTATACAACCTATCAATTACAGTTCTATGATCTTCATTTTTACAAACTTTAGCCGCACAAAACCTAAATTCTATCGGAAAATCAATATTTCTTAAATTATTATGACATATTTTACTGTATATGTTAATTTGATCAACGCCCCTCTCACCCCACTTCACCTTGTTACAACATTTTTCTTTATATTGCGTTTTAAAGACAGATTACCTATCTTAAAATCTACTTCCAGTGGAAAATGATCTGACCAATAAACATCAAAGCATACCTTACAATTTAATACACATCGCCAAGCTGCCTCTGTTACCAGACAGTGATCAAGCCATCTTCGGCAGTCCTTTTTAATGTCACTTATATAAGTGTATGTGTCTGACACATACACTTATATAAGTGACATTAAAAAGTTTAAATGGACCACGTCT